ATGTGCTGCTTTGCTCCATGTTGGATGTGTGGACGCCCTCGTCTGTGCTCCGCCGCTGCTCTGCTGCCTGTCCCGCTTGCTTCACATGTGGTTCTTTCCAGGTTGATGTGTTCGCTGTGGTGTGGCTGTGTGGTTGGTGTTGCCTTGCGCTTCGCTGCTCCGCTGCCTTACTGCCCTTCCGCTGGCCGTGCCTTCCATGTTTGCTGCTTGCGGGCCTTGTGGGTTGGTTGCCTTGTTGCGGCTGCCTTGTGCTTCACTCCACAGTTGCCGAGTTGCTGGTCCGCTCGCCCTGTCGTCCCTTGCAGTATGGTTGCCTTGCTTGTGTTGCCTTGTGCTTCACGACATGGTTGCCGTGCTGCTTGTCCTGTGTGCCATGTTGTTCCTTGCAGTCATCTTTGACGTTGTGCAGCCGTGTTGCCTCTACTGTGTTGCCTCGTGCTCCACATGGTTTCTGTCCGCTGCTATGTTCCGCTTGTGGACAGTCTGCCCTTAACAATTGTCAAAGGGTTCATAACCCAAACCATCATCCTTTTCTTTTTCTTTTTTTCTTTTTTTTTCGGTCTTCGTTGTTTTTGGGGACTTGTATATTTTTTGCTTTGCCTGCTTTCTGTGTCTGAGTGACGTCTGCCCTCCCGCCTCCCCCGTGCCCTTCACCCATTGTCTTTTGCTGCTGCCTGTTGTGTTATGCTTGGGGTATCTTTCTGTACTTGTACTTTTATTTTGTCTTTCCTTGTTTTGTGCATTTATGTATGATCTGCCCTCCAACCTCCTCCGTGCCCCCCCGTCCTTGTGCCTTTCTGCAGTTTGTTATCGTTGCGTCCTTGCCTTTTGCCTTATTGTGCTTCCTTTCCCCGTTGTGCGGTGTCTGTTTGATTGTGTGTGTTCCAGTTCGCCCGCAAAGAGCAGTAGGAGCATGAGTGCTCGTGTAGTACGGCATAGTCATTCCCCACCTTACAGTATAGGTTCCGTCTGCACCACGCCTACAGGTTATTGTTCCTGAGCTTGCTCGTGTACTTAATACACACACATGAAACTTAAATAAGAAGAAGATGATGTGAGTTTTAATATCATGGCGCCATCAACTTCTCCCCACATCTCCTTGATCCAACACCGTCAAGGAACTCAACCCTTCTACTCATGCACCACGCAGATTGAGGAATTCACCTACGCACTACCCATTTAAAAATGTTCGACTAAACCTTTCGCGGTTTCAATCCGTCCTCCTACAAAAAATAAAAATATATAAAATAAAAATAAAAATAAAAATAAAAATAAAATTTAAATACTAAAAAACTATCCCCATACTTCGAGAAAACATACTGCGGCCGCACACTTCTGGCCCAATTTACCTCTTACATCGTACTCAATTCTTCTTCCCAGGCTTAACGCGTCCGTATCCCCATCCAGGTTTGAATTACCTGCCCATACGGGTTACGGTCTTACTTCATCGTTCGAGCATTCTTCCTGAATCCGGTCTATATTCATTCAGGTCCGATAGTAGCTGGCAGCGCCGTTTTTTCCGTGTTTGTACTGTGGCAATGTCATGCGGACGTTACTTCTGGGACTTTGTCATACTCGGGACAGATATCGGATCAGTCCATTTTTCGGCAGATATCTTCACATTGCATGCACACACGAGTTAATTCGTCGTTCAGGCATACTTCATGCTTCCGGTCCATGTCCATTCGGGTCCCCACTGTTCCTGACACCGCTCGTGCCGATGCACGTGGAGGTTACTGTGGTACTCTGTCTTAACCGAAACAGAAATCGGATTGACCGATCTCCAAACAAATTGTGGCTCACGCTGCACTCACCCCATTCTTCTCACGGAGCCAGGTCAGGGTGAATTTCCCTACCTGTTCCCAGAAGGGTTCCTTGGTACGTCTGCCCATCCACTTTAATCCGGCAAGAACGACTTTATCTGGGTACCGAAGCTTCCACAGTTCCTCCACATTGGTGAGGATATTGAGGAAACTTATCCCTACATAATTCAAATTATTTGCAATTCTCAGTAGCGTATTTGCTACCGTAGCAAATTTGGTCGTAGGAGGCCCGAACGAACAAAAATCCTTATACGTACGAAAACTCAAGGCAACCCCCCCCCATATTGTTTCGGCATTCTTAAATTTATGGGTCATTAGAATTGCCGACGGGGTGACGATCATCCTAGTTTCAAGAAAATCAATAAGCCAATTGCCTGGGTCAGACCATACCAAAACCAGCCCGTCTGGATAGCACTCCGTTATCCAGTTGATTCGATCTGTTGCTTTGGCCTGGCCGTTCGGATCACCTTCCTGGAAGAACGATACTATCAAAAGGTCATCAATATATCGCTTCCCTGAAATGAACTTTCCATCCACACCCAATGAGCTCACAAATTGAAACTCAGCTCTCATACACATAACACACAAAAGGGGGGGGGTGCCCTCCCGCCCATCGGTACGCCTTTCTTCTGGCGCAAAACCAACTTAGCTACCAAGAAGAAAGTATTTTCCAGTTGGAATTCTGTCAACTTTACCAGCTGCGTTAGTCGAACTGACTTCCACCCATCTTCGCCTTGAGACTTCCCCAAAGTAGCCACCTTTTTTCTTCCATTCACCCTGATCCACCTCTTACCCTGCTGATGAAATAAATCAACAATCCAAGTAACTGCGCGGCTAATTTTCTCATGAGGCAATTGTGTGATCATCTCCTTGATATCGTAGGTCCTTACGATAGAGCCAAGACCGTCTTGTATTTGTTCATTAATCTTCTTGACTTCATCCTTCAGTCCCCCAATCGTATGCAGGTTAAAATGTGGAACATCAACTTCCCGAATCAGGGTGTTGAGGGCCGTGGATAAAAGCCAAGACGCAGATCTAAACGGACTTAAAAAAGAAGGGACGATCGGTCGCTTCTTAGTTTTGTCTTTCTCTTTTGAGATAATGTATGCGTACTGCAACTCCCCTTGCTTGTCCCACCGTGCCAATTTCCCAAGTTGGCCATCCTCATGCTTTCCCTTCATTTTTACAATAACGTCAATACTTGACTTTTGGACATGCTCGTAGTTCTCATTCAATTTGTCGATTTACATCTTTCGCAGACCAGCTTCATACACCTTTAGGCATTCAACCCAAGTTTCGTTGGTGTTTCGATCGAGCGGGGATCGGACAAGCCCATCTAAGGCCTGTCCAACCCCTGCCACGTACTCGCTCAATACACACCCGTCGGTTTTCACATTCCCGAGCTTATCGACCGTCAACATTTCAATTAAGATGTTCTTTGACACAATTTTGGACCTCCTTAGGCATTCCAACGCGCTATTACAAGCTTGATTCAACATCTTTCTATTCGTGAGAGTGCCTAGAAAAGGCTCGTTCTTAGCATTGAACAAGAAGGGGTGAATATTTTGAACATCACTAAGCTTACAAGCAACATGCCCATCAATCTTGGGCAGGTCAAAACCGGCACAGGCACATTCACAGGAATCTAACAGTGCGAAGGTTTTCTGATTATGCAGAAGATCACCAACTGTGCTCCGCTTTGAGCCAAACAACCTTAGTTCTCCTTGCAATCATGTTCCCCAATGATACAGGATTAATCTCCTTCCTCATCTATGCTTTCATGCAACTTTCAACTTTACATTTATCAATAGACGTACACAAGGGAATTTTAATAGTCACGTTCAACCGTGGGTTGATACCAAACTTCTTTTTGAATACGTTAGTCAAAATCCCACGCAAGGTTTTTCTTCCCCGTTGCTGGTTTATTACTTTAACACCATTATTGAGATCAATTAATTCATCGAGGAAACAAGCAAATAGATCCCGACGTTTCCACGGTGCCCGGAGTAAGGCCAGTAGAGCTGCTTTTAACATATCAGACTTGGTCTCTCCCCTAAACAAACTTGTAATCGACCAACCCCCTCCTTCTTCAATTGCACCCCTTGCGGCCTTCAACAACATTTTCTCCCCACCTATCTCAATTTTCGAGTAACCGAACAACAAGGCAACCAACCTCCATGCTTTTAACCAGCGACAACCCCGGTTATTTTCCATATGTACTTTCCCTTCCCGTTTCCGTCTATTGAGCAACTTCAGGGTTTTCAGCAGATCTAGTTCCTGCCGCACATTCAATAGTGGACACTCAAATAGTATTGGTTCTGCGACTAGAGCGGGAACAATTCTACTAGTGGATTGCTTCCTCCTTCGGCCTCGGTGAGGTTTCCTACCCGTTTTCACACCTCTAGTGTTCAGACCCGGATTATGACTCCTAATAATCTTCTGCTCCCTGCCCTCAATCAGCGACTCTTCTCCAAACCAAATTGGGATTGGAACGTAATGTTCAATTCCCATCTTCCGTAACTGAGAGTGCATGTGTTGTTTTCTCGCTCCCTTTACCGCCCGACGATGCTCAGCCCGCCGCTCCTTTAGTGGGCGAACTGTCTTTCCAACATACACCAACCGATGGTTTAATAACATAATCACATACACGCACCCCTGCCCACGCAACAACACATCCCATTCAGCCTGAGTCATTCGGAGCCAGAAACATACGTACGCTTTCCCCCAGGCAATATCCCCACGTAGGCATGCAAGCAAAATTAATAAAGTGTGTATTCGATCCAGGATGGTGGAAAAACCAGGCTTAGCACCCAGTTTTAACTGCACGATTCGCGCCACGGCCCTTCTCAGCGAGCGAAGGCTCCCAAGTCTCAGTTTTTCGATATTGGACCAGCACCCTCAGCTGCATCCTCGACAACATTATTGTTCTTGTGCGCATCCTTCCGTCGAGATGATTCACTGGTTCTCGACGGCCCTTCCTCCTTCAGTAGGTCGGCGTAATCCAGCAAGTCAATCCGCGCGAGCTCCCAAGCTCCTATTTCTTTCCGAAAATATGAAACCTCCTTTTGCTTGAAGAGTTCCTGCACCCTAGTGTAATGCAGAGAACTGTAGAAATCCAAGCGTACCTTTATGTATGCAGCCAGACCATCCTCGTCTGTTTCCTCATCATCTTCAACAATCGTCGCGTTCTGCGCGAGATTAATGTCTCTGGCGTCTTCAACAGCTGGTTCTTACACGACTGGTTCTTCAGCCGGGGCCGCCAGCTTGCCTTTTTGATCTCCAAGGCTCTGGACCAATGCAGCTAGCATCTTCTTCACATCGGCGAGATCGCTGCTGCTTTCCAGTTTGGCATTTAAGTTCTGCTTCACTCCAGCAACGACGCCCTCCTCGTCGAATGAGATCTCGATCCGTTTCGATTTCACTTTCGAGTTGCTACGTGATCGAGGCTTAATGGTATTTTCCTTCGCTGTCGTAACAGCAGGCGTACCACCACCCCCACGCTTCCTCTTCTCGCTACTCGACTCCTTATTCTTCTCGAGTGCCGCTTTTTCAGCTCTCAATCTTTCCAACTCATCCTTCTCTGCGCTCGCCAATTTCGCCTTTGAGTCAATCCACGTCCTCCAACTTCCTGGTGATTAACTTAAGGGAGTCCCCCAGGGTCGATGTCACCCACGCCTTCATTTCTTCACTCTTATCGTGTGATCTGACCTCCGAGCGACAACTTCCTTCGCTCACCTCCGCGATTCGAACTCCACTTCGGCGCCCACCTCCTATCTTCCTCCTCGCCTCTTCTACAGCCTTGTTAGACTTGATATCTTCCAGTATATCCATATATTTTTTAGTGAAGTATGCCCGATTGCCAGGGTCGGTGAACGCATTAGCCGACGGGCCCTTCCTGCCGGGGTTCCCATGCCGGTTCTCGTTTTGCATCGTAGGCTGATGATTCCCTCCTTGCAGATTGACAGACTGAGGATTACTTGTCTGAGGAAAACTCAACTGAGGATGGCTTACTTGCGGAACGCTCCACTGTCCGCTTGCTGGTCATGGACCAGTCATCGACTACGGTTGCACATTCCATTGCCCGCCATGTGGTGGGATCTATATGATCCTTGATTCCCCACAAGCATCACGGACATCGCCATTACTCTCGACATTGCAGGTAGCATCGGCATCTGACCGCTGGTTAGCGGTCCATGTGCTCCGGCCACAGGTACTGTGTATGCTTGAGGCATCACACTTGGCGTCACGCCTGGTGGGGGTTGATTGACCTTTGGGTATTGCCCCTGAAGGGGCTGCTGCGCCGATCCGCTACCACCGTTCATATCGGTCCTGTACCGGCCGCAGTTAGACCACCCGCCACGCCAGTTGCTCACTTTGTTGCTACGACCTCGCCCGTACATGCGATCAACGATAGAGATCACAAAAAAGAACCCAACCAATACCCAGCCCGATCACCCACTTTGATTCCTTACGATCCGAGCTCAGTTCCCACTTAAGCAGCTTAATATTCCAGCGCATCCCGCTTCTACGTAGTGATTGATTACCAATCCTACTGGCTACTACATAATACAGCAGCAGGGTGCATCCTGCTCTCCGAGGATCAGCACAACACTAGTAGCGCACAATAGTACAAAAGAGAAGACGAAAGCATAAGAAAGCATAGACCTGCGCGTTATACCGCGCCGTACAATCATGGAGCCGTCATCGGCAATAAAGCAATAGAATGAATCAATAGAACAATAGAACAATAGAACAATAGAACAATAGAACAACAAAACAATAAAATTAATAAAATCAATAGAATCAATAGAACAACTTACACGATCAGCACGATCTCGCCGAAGCGAGAGATGAGACCTCAGGCTCGTTCCCAAGCCACGGCAAGGTCGAATCTGAGGCTCTAAACAATACTTAATACACACATATGGAACTTAAATAAGAAGAAGATGTGAGCTTTAATATCATGGCGCCATCAACTTCTCCCCACCTCTCCTTGATCCAACACCATCAAGGAACTCAACCCTTCTACTCATGCACCACTCAGATTGAGGAATTCACCTACGCACTACCCATTTAAATATGTTCGACTAAACCTTTCGCGGTTTCAATCCGCCCTCCTACGAAAAATAACAATATATAAAATAAAATTAAATTTAAAATTAAAAATAAAATTTAAATACTAAAAAACTATCCCTATACTTCGAAAAAACGTACTGCGGCCGCACACTTCCGGCCCAATTTACCTCTTACATTGTACTCAATTCTTCTTCCCAGGCTTAACGCGTCCATATCCCCGTCCAGGTTTGAATTACCTGCCCACACGGATTACGGTCTTACTTCATCGTTCGAGCATTCTTCCGGAATCCGGTCTATATTCATTCAAGTCCGACAGTACCTGGCAGCGCAGTTTTTTTCGTGTTTGTAATGTGGCAATGTCATGCGGACGTTACTTTTGGGACTTCGTCATACTCGGGACAGATATCGGATCAGTCGATTTTTCGGCATATATTTTCACATTGCATGCACACACGAGTTAATTCGTCGTTCAGGCATACTTCCTGCTTCCGGTCCATGTCCATTCGGGTCCCCACTGTTCCTGGCACCGCTCGTGCCGGTGCACGTGGAGGTTATTGTGGTACTTTGTCTTAACTGGGACAGATATCCGATCGACCGATCTCCAAACAGATTGTGGCTCACGCTGCACTCACCCCATTCTTCTCACGGAGCCAGGTCAGGGTGAATTTCCCTACCTGTTCCAAGAAGGGTTCCTTGGTACGTTTGCCCATCCACTTTAATCCAGCAAGAATTTCCCTACCTGTTCCCAGAAGGGTTCCTTGGTACACTGCACTCACCCCATTCCTGCTCGTGTAGTCTGGCATAGTCATTCCCCACCTCCGAGTACCGGATGCGTCTGCACCACGCCTACAAGTTTTCATTCTCAAGGTGCGCACATATACTATTTCGGAGCTTGATTATGATGCGGTTTCCGTATCATACCGTAAACATGTCATATTTTTATGCGGGTTACACACTTACACGGAACACGCACGTGCACGCACGCACACACACACACACACACACACACACACACACACACACACACACACACACACACACACACACACAC